TCGCGCGCCAACTCCTTGCTCGCAAACTTCAGGTCGCACCTGTCCTCCGCCAAGTAGTGGGCCCGCATGGTCAACGATCGGAACCTCCGCACTTCGATCTCGTCTTTGATCGGCGTCAAGTCTGGCACACCCGATACTTTCTCTCCTGGCGTCGACCGACTCTTGCTGGAACCTTTCAGCCCCAGCTCCTCGATGATCAGCGCCGCGTGCCTCGGGTCCGCCTCCACGGCGAGCACCTGCTTGCCCTCCTTCATCTTCATGGACACGAGCCGGTTCAGGATTCGAACCTCCTGCGCGTCTCCCAGCTCTCGATGCAACCCGAGCACGCCCTTCTCCTTGAGCTTGATATGCTTGCCTAGCTCCTCCTTGACCTGTCTGATCGACTCGCGCTGGCCTCCCAGCACGAAGTCGCCCCCGTGCTTGAAGCACCTCACGCGAAGCTTCTCGTTCCAGAACGAGCACGGGTTCGCCGCTCCAGGCTTGAGGCCGGCGTGATCCCGAGCAACTGTAGATGAGAACAGCTCCCAGTTCGCCGCCGCATCCCTGGTCCCGTACATGCTCTTCCGAAGTAGGGCACAGCAGCCCTCCTGGTAGTCCTCGTCACACAGCCTCACAAAGACCCGTCGGGTCGCCGGGCTGTGGAAATGAGCCCTGGTCGCGTCCAGCACCATGAACGCGTCGGGCTCGTACTTGTTCTCTTCCACTGTCATGCCTAGGCTGAACAACAGCTTGAGGCACTCGATCGGCGGCGTTGGGGCGAAGACTCCCTCTCGCGCCGGGCCCTTCGCTTTGATCTCCTGCGCGCACAGCCTAGCACGCACATCAGGCTTCTCGTCGTCGCCCTTGTTGACGCACACCCACGCGACGCCGATGGGCGCCGCTCCCGTCTCGTCCCAGCACTGCTGGATGGGAACCTTCTCGTAGACCCCGAACGCCCTGATCTCCTTGAGCTCGTCCTGCTTGGCCTCCGCCACCAGACTCGGGTCCAACTTCAGACCCGTGAGCGAGTCGTAGACGTCGCGCCCGCTGCTGGGCGCCCAGAGCTCCTGGTGGTCGTCCCACTCCGGCTCCTTCTCTTCAGCATCAACCGTCCCGAGCTCGCCCTCGTGCCACTCACCTCGGTCTTTCAGCTCGTCCACCAACCCATGAAGGATCGCCCGAACCAACTCAATCGGGTAAACCTCGCAGCCCTTTGCCTTGTTCCCGACCATCTCAACGTGGCGGTGCTGTCGCCACGGAGGCTCCTCCTTGTTCGTACACCTCCTTGCCAGCTGCCTCGCTATCTGGTCGGAGTTGGTGGCCCACCCAGTAGGCTTGACCACCAGCTGCCAGCTGCCGTCGACGTCGAGCGCCGTCATGCCGAACTGGCACATGTCGCTGCGCACCCTCTTGGTACTCTCTCTACTCAGCAGCTCCTTCACGCACTCTTCCTGCCATGACGTCGCACGGTCTGGATGCTCGTGGAGCCAGAACCGCCCAGCGTCGTCCTGCCACCGATAGTGCTCGCACACGAACTCGAGGTGACTGATCGCATCCTGTTTCATCGCCTCCCAGTCCTCGCTGCTGTAGTGCTTCCGGTTGAAGGTCATCAGCGAGCTGAACATCCTGCACATCGGGCTCCCGATCAGCAGGAGCGGTCTCTTGACCTTCAGGATCTCCTTCGCCAGCACCCTGTCCTGCGATTGGGAGAAGTCCCACGGACCTCCTCCGTCCGGCTTCTGGAGCTGCAGGTCGAAGGCATGGCCGAAGGCAAGACCCATCGCCTCGGCCTCCTCCTTGAACCTCTCTGGGTTGTACACCTCACTCACGTGGACGTCGTAGCCCAGCGCGCTCAGCATCCTGCCGCCCTCCAGGTAGTCCATCCTGGCCGTCGGCACGCTGGTCTCCTCGACCACCTCATACTGCCTGACCTCATCCTGCTGCCACTCCTCGCTAGCCCTGCGCTTCTGACTCCCCCGCACATCCTCCATCTGGGATCCTTGCGTGGGTCCTGCGCTGCTGCCCTGCGGTGCCAGCTGCGCCTCCACCTCCATAGGTGATCTCTCGGCTGCCTCCGGGGCCTGGGCGGCATCTCCTGCGGGCCCCTCCGCAACTGCCGGCGGGCTGGGCGCTGCTGCAGGAGCAGCAGGCGCTCGCTGCCCTGCCGCCTCGATACGCGCTCGGCAAAAGTCCGAGTGCGCAACTCCGCCTCCACTCACGTGCGTCGTGCCGTGGATGAGCAAAGCCTCACACCCTCGACATCCTGGCGTGAAACCGTACTTCTCAATCATGGCCTTGGTGACGTACGTTCTCCGCCGAACCACTGTCGGCTCCGGTGGCGTCTCGATCACCGGCGGTACGTCTGGTGGTGGATCTGGTCGTCCGACTTCCACTCGTACTTGAGGCGCCGGCACCTCCTCTGGCGTCCGATTCCAGGGCACGCCCTTGACCTTGAGGATCGTCTCCGGCGACTTGCGCATCACCTCCGGGAGCCTCTTCATGCTCCTGGCTCGGTAGACGCCGCCATTCTCATCACTGACGAACGCCTCGTCGCTGCCCTCCTGGACGCCCAGGAAGTGCCCCGTCCGCCACTTGTTCTCTAACTTGTTCATGCCCTGCGCATCACCACGCTTCTTGCTCTTGTCCGCTGGGAGCCAGTAGATGCGCTCACCGAAAGGCAGTAGCTCACGTCGAAACGGCTTGCCCTTCGTCTTCTCATATGGTGTCTCCCCGTTGACGCCCCTGGAGAACCGGTTGTAGACGTACGCCGCCCACAGCACCAGCCAGGGCACGAGCGCGGACTCGTGCTCGACCTTGATGCCCTGTGAGATCTCCAGCGCGTCCCTGTGGGTCCTCACCAGGCCCTCGATCTGCATCACGCCGTTCTCCATCGCACCGTTCGACTCCTTGCTGCCGCGCGGGGCCTCCTCCGAGCTCACGCTGCACGCAGTTCCCAGCGCCTGGTGCGCTGATTCCTTCAGCGCCTTCAACGCTGACTCCTGATCCGTCTTGTGGATGAAGTTGGAATGTCCCATCTGCTTGATGTGGCCACTCATGACCCCAACACTGCACTCGCTCGCGTCGCCCTTGCATGGGACGATCGCGGCTCCAAGCCACAACGTTCGAAAGCTCTTGCCCACCAACATCGGCATCACAGGATTATCATCTCGCCCGAGGAAGCCATAGTCGTGACCGACCGTG